GACACCATCCTGTTCACAGGCTCACCCCCTACCACATACATGTGCACACACACAGAAGTGTGGGCACAAACACACAAGTATGCACCTGCACGCATGTACACACATACCCACGCTCCCATACACCTGGCCACCTATCCAGAGGACTTGACCATGCCCTGGCCTCTGCTTATCCTTCTCACCCCTTCACAATCCTCCCCTAGCAAAGTTCAAGGTGGCACACCTCTTCCAGGAAGCCATCTCTGACTACCTCCAACTATCAGTACCTTTCTCTCTCCAAAATCCCACAGAACCACAGGGTTCTGTGATTTCTCCCCTCGAAGATGGAGAAATACGAAACAGGGTCGGGGGCTGAGGGCAGAGGCTGGGGGCGGGAGGTGGCAGAGTGGAGCACGCGGAACACGGCGCTCCAATCCAAAGCCCTGGTTAAGCATCACAGGGCCCCCCGTGCATGGCATGGCCGAGGCCCCTACTCTGTCTCCCTCCTTAGTCCAATCAGACCACGGCCGAAAAAGCGCTGGGCAGCCTCGGAAGTTCCACTTGCTTGTGGTGTGAGGCCACAGGACGTCAGTGGACGGCTGCAGTGGCAAAGGCTTGTTGTCCCCTCTGTGGCACCGCCCACAGTGGAAACCTGGGGTGCCCGCCTCAGCCCAGCCCTCGCCCTGCTTTGGACCCGCAGAACTTGGAGCAGGTGCAGTGCTGCCGAAGCACAGGCTGACACACGCTTCTTGAAAAAGAGAATTGGGCAGAGGAAATGGAAACCTGGGGGCCTGGGCCACACTTACCAACACTCAGAAAGTCCCCAGAGCAGCCTCCAGCGGGCGGACCGCCCACCCGGCCAGCTGCTGCAGGGCCTCACGGCGCAGGGCCCCACTTGCTGACAGTGGCCACATGGAAGGCACGGCCACCTGAGCCCCGCAGGGAGCACTCGCCTTGTCCCAGCCTTGAAGGCTCCTAGGGCACAGAGCCGTGGCTACGGAGTGCCCGTGATTAGCACGGACACAAGCAGAACAGAGCAGCACCCAGTGATGGGGGTGGGAAAAGCCCGAACGCCCCCTCGGCCCCTGCACACCTGCAGTCCCCAGAGCCACCCCTTGAGGCCTCTGGGACATTTACAGAGAGAGACAGAGAAAGGTCTTCCTTTTGCCGTTGGTTCACCCCGCAATGGCCACTGCGGCCGGCGCACTGCGCTGATCCGAAGGCAGGAGCCAGGTGCTTATCCTGGTCTCCCATGCGGGTGCAGGGATCCAAGCACGTGGGCCATCCTCCACTGCACTCCCTGGCCACAGCAGAGAGCTGGCCTGGAAGAGGGGCAACCGGGACAGAATCTGGTGCCCCGACCAGGACTAGAACCTGGTGTGCCGGCGCCGCTAGGCGGAGGATTAGCCTAGTGAGCCGCAGCGCCGGCCTCTGGGACATTTCTACACAATGTCAGGACCCTGCCAAAGGCAGAGCTGTCTACCTTTCTTTGGTAAACTTTTTTTTTTTTAATTTGTGAGGCAGAGAGCTCACATCCGCTGGTTCACTCCCAAAATATCCGCAACAGCCGGGGCTGAGCCAGGCCGAAGCTGGGAGCAAGGAATTCCACCTGTGTCTCCCCTGTGGGTGCCAGGAACTCAACCACTCGAGTCAACCCCGCTGTCCCCCTGTGCTCATGAGCAAGAAGCTGCAGTCGGCAAAGCAGCCAGGACTTGAACTTGGCCACTGTGTTACAGGATGCGGGTGTGCCCCAAGCTGCTGTCGTAACCCCCGAAGTCCAAGTGCCTTTCCCCAAGCCCCTTCTGCAGAGTGGCTACATTGAGGCCTGAGCGGAAGATAACTCACAGCCAAGCGGCCTGTGAGTGGGAGAAGCTGGCCCGGAATCCTGGCTGTCAGCCCGCCCGAGCCTTTGCTGTGCCCGTGAGAATGGAATACCTACAGGTGTCGTCTGTGTGGACCCCGTGGTCTTCCCGCAGAGCCTCGCTTGCCTGTGTCGCAGCTTCACTGTCCTGCGTCATCACGGAGTTGCCTGAGCGACAGATCCAGAGCGAGAGCCGGACTTCCAGCTTCCTCGCCAATGACCTTGAGCCGATGATTGACGTGACCTGGGATCTCAGGATCCCTTACAGCTCTCTCTACACAGGTCATGGGGGGAAGCTTTGCTCCCCACAGGTTAGGTAGGACATGGCCTGTGTCTGGAGAGGTGCTGTAAAGAGTGGGTGGTGCGGCCGGCGTGGGCTAAGCCTCCGCCTGCAGTGCCGGCATCCCATATGGGCGCCGGTTCGAGTCCCGGCTGCTCTACTTCTGATCCAGCTCTCTGCTGTGGCCTGGGAAAGCACTAGAAGATGGCCCTAGTGCTTAGGACCCTGCATCCATGTGGGAGACCCAAAAGAAGCTTCTGGCTCCTGGCTTCAGATTGGCACAGCTCTAGCTGTTGTAGCCATTTGGGGAGTGAACCAACAGATGGAGGACCTCTCTGTCTGTCTGTAACTCTACCTCTCAAATAGATAAATAAAATCTTTAAAAGAAAAAAAAAAAGAGTGGGTGGTGAGGTCTGAAGGCTCGTGGCATGTACCACAGACAAGACACCGGGGCAAGGCCCCTCCTGTTCTGCAGGGGATGAAGAAGAAGGCAATGGGCGTTGTTCGAAATGGAAAAGGGAAGAGAGAGAATCAGAGAAGGGGGCCAGGGCAGCAAGACGGCCCAGAGCTGTGGCTGCCGGCGCGCAGGGCGAGAGCGAAGCATCCGGTGGTGGAGCGGCCAGGAGGGCACCTTGAGGACAGAAACATGGGCCTCTCCGCGTGAAGCTGTCTGCACCGTGGTGATGCAAATCCCGCCTTCGCCCCCACCCCATATCTCCCAGTAGATCTGCCCCACAAGCAGATGCTTCAGGCCGCCAGATGGTCACGTGGAAAAACGAGCTGAGGCTCAGCTTTCCACCCGAGTCGGTGTGGGGCGAGAGGAAGGCAGTAGGTGCCAAAGCTAGAGCCCACGGCCCAGGAGCCTCAGCGTGCCGCCTCTGGGGCGTCTCGAAGCCTTGTGCCTGATCTCCACGGCAGGAGGAGTACGGGCGTCTGTCTGAACCAGCCTTACTGCACCTCCAGGGGCAGGGAGGATCCCAGAGGACATGCGAGCTGATTTAACCCCATGAAATATTCATGTTGTCTCATCATGAGCTCCGCGCTGGGAACCCAAGAGAAGCAGCAGGCAGTGGTCATTAAATTTCAGGTCACCGAAGCAGGGGCTGGGGAGCTTGTTAAAGACGAAGGTGCCTGCACTGCCTGCCGAGGACACTGATTCAAAGGGACTTTGACAAACACCAGGATGGGGGGTGGGGGGTGCCATGATCCCCAGCCCTCGAGAGGCTCACGAAGCCACTGCCTACTGCAGTTACAGGATTCACCTGCAGACCCCTGACCACCACCACCACCACCCCCGTCAGCACGCATTCCTATTGGCTGAGAGTCCTAGCCCCAACCTAGAGCAGCCAATCACGGCTGAGAGCCACATGTCTTTTTGCCTTGGCTCTCAGCTCTTGACGGCCAATACCTCTGCCAAGGGCACGGCGTTCTTCTCTGCCAATGTCAGTATGGGAGGGGGGCTGCCCCTTCTAGGCAGAAAAATGCACTGACTTGAGCAGGACAAAGGATAAAAAAAATTCAGAATAAAGCCCGTGGTGCACGCCTGAGCTCATCTGCCCATCATGTCCATGCTTCCGTGTGCTGGCTCCTCTGCTACCTGGGCCCACGTCCCCCTGTGTGTCTCAGCCGCACCACATCCTGCCGGAAATACCCACCCAGGTCCGATGCTAAAACAAAATGCCACGGAGTCCCTGATACAAAACAGGAATTTATCTTTTGTACTGCGGGAAGCTGGGAGGTTAAGATCAAGGTGCTGGCCTCTGACAAGGGCCTTCTCGCTGCATCCCAGTACGGAAGGGGGACAGAGCAGGTGCACCCCTCGGAGAGAAGGATTTCTCCAAGACCGCCAACTACAGCCCGGGGTGCTCGAGCCAGCTGGAGCCCGGCGTGTCAACAGGTGCACCTGGGCGGGCAGTCAGTCAGTCCAGTGAGAGGAAGGGAGAGTGGTATGGGCTGGTTTTTTGTTTGTTTAAGAATTTGAAGGGGAATTGAATTTGGAGGGAAAAAAAGAAGTCAGGATTTGCACCCTTCGTTCATGCACTCAAGAGCAAATGAGCCCCACGCGGCAGGAGCTGGCCCCGATGGCCGACAAGACTCTGAGCAGCAGAGAGCAGATGGAACTGGGGGTACAGCCCGAGCACAAGTGTGAAAGTGAAAGCAGGCTGACAGAGCGAGCGCGGTCTCCGGAGACACCGCTAATTCCACAGCCCTTCTCCGTGCTCTGGGCCGCACCCAGGCTGGCTGCTGGGGACGTGCAGGTGAACAAGGTCATCTCTGTCGTCACTCACTGGGACTGAGATTCTTGAAGGGGCACAAGAGCCACGTGGCTTCAGCGCGTCTCAGTGCAGGCCCTGCAGCCCGGTCTCCGAGCACCGGGACAGAGGCTGCCAGAGAAGCGGGAAACAGTGGGGAGATCCACTTCCGGCTGCCATAATTAAGCCTCTGGACTTTACATGGGGAGGCCGGAGCCTTCATGAAAACAGCCTGGGAAAAGTGAGTAGTGGGGCGGGCACCCCAGCAGGTTAAACACACAAGCACCCACACCTGCAGGCAGCCAGGGCGGGGTGCCATCCCAAACTGGGCCGCTTTCTCTCCCACACCAGCCCTGGTCAGAGCAGGCTATAGGGAACCCGGCGCTGTGCAAGCAAGGAAGTCGGACTGCTGGGGGGGGGGGGGGGTGCGTTTAGGGGAGTGGCTCAGACTCCACCTGGGACACCGGCCTCCCACCTGGCAGTGCCTGGGTGTGAGTCCCAGCTGCGCTCCTGCTAATGTGAGCCCAGGCGATGGCTCAGGTACTTGGGTCCCTGCCACCCACGGAGGGGATCCAGAGCGCGTTCTGGGCTCCTGGCTTCAGCCTGGCTCAGTCCCAGCTGTTGTGGGCATTTGGGGAGTCTACCAATAGATAGAAGTTACCTCTGTCTTTCTCTCTGCCTTTCAAACACAGTGAAAATCAGTAAATAAAAACATAAAATAATAAAAGGCAAGCCTCTTGGGTTGGGACCGGGGAGGGTGGGGAGCTTTATGACTTTCTGCTTTCACCCAGGCCCTCCACCCTTTGATGTTTTTCGTTTGTTTGGTTTTGGTTTTGGTCTCAGTCAGATCTGTGAAAGCCAAGGCGATTCTGGGTGTGGTTTTTTATTGCTTTATTTTCCTTCATGTTAATGTGATACTAACACAAAAAGAGCAGATTCAGTGTAATCCATAGGTACAATTCTAAGAATTAATGACGTTCCCTCCCTCTCGCCTCCTTCTTTTCTTCTTTCTTTTCCTTCTTTCTTTCCTTGTTTCATTATTGAGGTTTTTTTTTTTTTTTTAGATTTATTTATTTATTTGAAAGGCAGAGTTACAGAGAGAGAGGTCTTCCATCCACTGGTTCACTCCCCAATTGGCCACAATGGCTGGAGCTGCACCGATCCGAAGCCAGGAACCAGGAGCTTCTTCTGGGTCTCCCACAAGGGTGGAGGGCCCAAGGACTTGGGCCATCTTCTACTGCTTTCCCAGGCCACAGCAGAGAGCTGGATCGGAAGTGGAGCAGCCGGGACTCGAACCGGTGCCCATATGGGATGCCAGCACTGCAGGCGGCGGCTTTACCCACTACGCCACAGCGTTGGCCACTTTTGAGACATTTTAAATTCATACTACAGTCAAAAGCTTATTTTAAGCTCTTTTAAGCTGAAGAGACAGCCTGGGGTCAGCAGCCGGCCCAAGGATCAGCAGGTGCAGGACTGAGGCCTGGAGGAGCACCAGGCTGGGCCACAGAGTCTGTCCCAACTCTGCTCCTCGCTGTATGACTGTGGGCCAGTCTCCTCCCCTCTCTGGGCCCACTCCGTGCCTCTCTGTACTGGCCCAATGCCACCAACCATAACAAGAAGAAGTTATTACACTGAAGACGTAGAGATCAAGGGACAGGCCAAGCACTGAGACCACGGACCCAGCAGGAGATGCAGAAGCAGATTCTGACCCTTGGCCCGAGTAACCAGGGCTCAGCAGAACATGGCGCCCTGCTGAGAACATCAATTCCAAGGGCGCAGCCCCAAGACGGGACTGCGTGGTGCAGGGCACACGTTTCACACAGTCTGGGGGAAGGACTCAGCCTCCAAGCCCAAGCCCTCTGCACGAATTAGAGTTCTCTCAAAACAAAAAGGCCCGGGCCGGCGCCATGACGCAGCAAGTTAATCCTCCCCCTGCAGCACCAGCATCCCATATGGGCACTGGTTCAAGTCCCGGCTGCTCCACTTCCAATCCAGCTCTCTGCTGTGGCCTGAGAAAGCAGCAGATTATTGCTAAGTGACTGGGCCCCTGCACCCACATGGGAGACCCGGAAGAAGCTCCTGGCTCCTGGCTTCAGCCTGGCCCAGCCCTGGCCATTGCAGCCATTTGGGGAGTGAACCAGCAGATAGAAGGTCTCTCAGTCTCTCTCTCTCTCTCTCTCAGTAACTCTGCCTTTCAAATAAATAAATCTTTAAAAAAAATAAATAAATCTTTAAAAAAAAAAAAAAAAAAAAAGGAGGTCTGGTTCTGTGTCGAGTAGTAGGGTCCTCCCGCAGGAGAACAGAGCGGATCTGTGGCCAAAAGCTGCACACACCAGGGGCAGCCTGAAAGGTAGCCCAATGGGTGTCTCTGAGCTCAAAAACATTTATAGGTAACAAGGTAGTCCTGGAAGCCTGCTTGGAAGAAGCAGGGAGAGCAGGAAGGGGAGAAGAGGAGGCGGCAGGGTGGGAGGAGCCACTCCACTTCTCTGTAAATGGGAACGCCACCCTCGGCAAAGGCTTGTGAGATTGAAGCTTCACCCCCCTGGAGAGCTCACACCAGCCGGGGCTCCACCAGACGGCAGGGCAAGGACCAGGGAGACGCAGGGGCAGGGAGGGAGGGAGCGGTGGTACCCAGCACACTGTTCCCCATCGATACAGGTCCCCGAGTGGAGCACTCAGCCCCGCAGCGCGACTGCCCCCTGGGGAGCTCAGAATCCCCCCACACGCCCCAAATAGCCATCCAGGGAAGGGCCCACACGCGCATGCGCGAAGGCCAGGCTCACCAGAACACGATGACCTGGAAGGGCTGGGCCAGGCTGCTGAACCCCGGCTCTCTGCGCAGGCTGACGCCGCCTGCAGGCCCCGGGGGCGTCGGGTCACCGCCCTTGGCGCCCACCTGTTGTCATCCTCACTTCTCCCCCACCCAAGCGCTACACGGGGTTCTCACAGTTTCAGTTTTTCCCATAGTCATCTCGGGGCCAGCCCAGGAGTCCCCCAGGCCCGTGTCAGGACGGGGAGGCAGGCGGCTGGGGGCTGAGATGTGACGTTGGGGCCTCTTCCTTCTGCACGCCAGGTTTATCCCGACAGCGAAAGCGAGGCAGCTTCCCGGGGTGGGGGCAGAGTACTTCACTGAGGGCACTGGTGTTCAAGGTCAAGTCTTATCACAGACTCCCTCCGCCCCTACATGCTGCCCCCCAGAGGGCTAGGACTTGGGCTTCTTAAAGGAAAGACTGCAATTCCAGGCTGGCCGCTGGCATAGCCGCGAAGACAGAGCCTGGGACGCCCGCATCGCATCTTGAAGTGGGCATCCTGGCTCTGCTTCCAGTTCCAGCTTCCTGCTGATGCTCCGGGCGGTGGCAGATGACGGCTCAAGGACGTGGGTCCCTGCCGTCCACTTGGGAGATCTGGATTGAGTTCTGGGCTCCTGATTGTAGTCCTGGTTCAGCTCCATCTGTTGCAGGCATTTGGGGAGTGAACCAGCAGATGGAAGATATGTGTGTGTGAGTGTGAGTGTGTGTGTCTGTCTGATGTCTCCATTTCAAATAAAATTAAAATATGCTTTTCTAAATATTGACCCCCCCAAAAAAATATCAAAAGAAACAGAAATTCCAAGAATGTAAGTGAAGTACCCCAGGAGCCAGGAGCTTCTTCTGGGTCTCCCACGTGAGTGCAGGGGCCCAAGCACTTGGGCCACCTTCTACTGCTTTCCCAGGCCACAGCAGAGAGTTGGATCAGAAGTGGAGCAGTCAGGACTCGAACCAGCACCCATCCTGAATGCCGGCACTGCACGCGGAGGCTTAGCCCACTACACCAAAGTGCCAGCCCTTGGGTGTTTCTAAAAGCTCCTGGATCTAAAGAAGTCTGCAGGCTGCATGCTGAATTGGGCACCAGAGGTTTGTTTTCAAGATCCCTCCTTGAGGAGCAAACGTTCAAGCAATCGTAGCTGCTAAAGAAATCGTAAATGCTTTCGTTAAAGTTTGTCAGCATCCATGTGCCAATTAGCAACCAAGCATCAGCCCCCGCCCATGAAGCTTGAGATCCTGTTCTGAACAGTGGCAGAGGACACTGTGCGACAGGTTTTCATCAAACGGAAAGAGTTGGCTCCGTCGGCTGCACAGCTCGGACTGCAAGAGTGGGGACAGCGAGGCTGTGGCGCAGAGTTCTGGTGAGAGTGGCTGCAGGCAGTCACGGCGAACCTCAGCCCAGCGACGGCACAGCAAGCTCCCCACAGTGCCGCCTGGTGCTCTGGCTGCTGTGAGCGGGGCTGGCAGCCAGCTCCCTCTGTGTGTCCAAGGCCATCCAGGACGCCTGCAGGGGCTCAGTCTGTTGAGTCCTCCATTGTCTAGACAGGGAATCGTCGTCACACCGCTGTCCACTAGCACACTCGAGATGGGGAGCTGGGCGTGCCGGACGTCACGGCAGGTGTGCCCAGACCAACGCCAACCAAGATGGCCTCTAGCCTCACTGGGACCCTAAAATCTCAAGGATGTTCTATGTGGTAGAAGGTTCTGCAGTGATGAGAATGTCCTTAGGGTGCCCTGGCCAACCCCCACAGCACCTGAAGTGTGCTGGGTGGCTGGGAAATGACTCTGGGTTTGATTTTGTTTTAGTTCAGTTAAATTTACATGACTGGGGTCCGGCGCTGTGGTGTAGCGGGTAAAGCCATTGCCTGCAGTGCTGGCATCCTATATGGGCACCAGTTTGAGTCTCAGCTGCTCCACTTCCGATCCAGCTCTCTGCTGTGACCTGGGAAAGCAGTAGAAGATGGCCCAGGTCCTTGGGCCCCTGCACCCAAGAAGGAGACCCGGAAGAAGCTCCTGGCTCCTGGCTTCCGATAGGACCAGCTTTGGCCATTGCAGCTATTTGGGGAGTGAACCAGCAGATGGAAGACTCTCTCTCTCTCTCTCTCTCTCTCTCTCTCTCTCTGCCTCTGCCTCTCTGTAACTGAATTTATTTATTCAAACAAATAAATAAATCTTAAAAAAATGTACATGACTGAACCAGACTGGTGGCTGCCATATTGGACAGTACAGATCTAGACAATGGCAGGCCCCACCCCAGCCCATTCCCACATCTCCAGGGTGGTCCTCCTCACCCTGCACTCCTGCTGTTCAGGTCCCCTTGGCCCTGCACTCCCAGCTCACATCCCCTCTCGGCGCCTGCCTCCACCCCGACCCATTCAGAGAAATCCTCCTGAACACGGCCCTCAGCTCTGCTCTGCTCTGCCGACTCCTGCACCCTTGCTGCCTGCTGCACCTGCTGAAAACCTCCCAACCCAAACCCAGGATCCACACCCTCCAGGAAAATCTACCAGAGCCCCACGTCCAGGTTGGGATGTGTGGGAGGGGGCAAGAAAAGGCCGATCAAAGCTGACACAGCCAGGACTCTCCAGGACAGTCGTCTCCATCTAAGAACCAGAGAGGCCGAGTCAAGGCCCCTTCTCGCAGGAGCTCACACAGTGCAGGGAGCACGGGATGCAGACAGCAGTAGCCTTGCAGCGCAACTTGAGCTGCTCAAGGCCAAATGTGCTTTCAAAGAGTGCAGAGGAGAGCTGGCTTGGCTGGGCTGCACTCCCCGGGGTGTTCCAAGGAGAAGCAGAGGCTGCCCCTCCCAACCCAGGCTCTCGCCTTTCTTGGGCTCTGGCCGGGAGGCTGACCCAGGAAGGCTCCAGGAGGGGCTCCCTGTCCTGCACCTTCAGGTTGGGTTTGGCCAAGGTCAGGCAGAGGCAGGGGATGAACAGTGGGAAGGAAGCGCAGGGGTTTGCTTGCCTCTGGCTTCCTCTCCGCCAGGCTGAAGGTTAACACTGACCAGGTCCCTCTAGGGCCGGCCGGGGTTCCTACAGGCAGTCACACCTACACCCTGGGCTCTGCTCTGGCTTCCGGGAGAGCTGCCTCCTTTCAGCTCTCCCGGACCCAGGAACAGAAGCAGCTCCCAGGGTTAGTCCCAGCGTGCTGCCGACTCCCTGGTTGCTCTCCCAAGAGCCCTGGCCCAAGCCACTTCCTCTACCCAGTTCCTACCCACCCCCCTCCAATCGCCCTTTGTAATGCATGGGCTGTCTCCATCCAGGACCTCAGCAGCAGAGGTCTAGGCTGGGTCTTAAAGGCTGCCTGTGATTCATGCAGTCAGAGGAGCAGAGAAAAACAGCAAAGTGGGAGGAGCCCAGGAGGGCAGTGCTGCCCAGGACACCCAAAGCAGGAAATGGGGCTTGCGCTGGGCTAGGTCACGGAGGTTTGGATCACCCCGCAAGCAAGGGAGCCCTGTCATCCTTGGGTGGTTCCCCCGTGATTACAAGGGGCCCCACCAACTGAAAGCTTCTCTAGTGCTCACTGTGGCTTTCATGTAAGCAACTGGCTTTTAAATACACCTGACACCATGACAGGATAAATAAAGCTGCACTTGAATAGCATTCCACTCTGGCCTCCATGGGAAGCGCAAGTGAGCAAAATTCTACGGAGATTCAAGGACATCTATTCTGGACCCAATGACCTGGGGAGTACTAAATCCCTCTGTCTGTTAGACAAGACCTTTCAGATCCCACCTCTTAGTTCCTTAATGGCTAAGCAATTGCAAGGATATATTACATCCTACAGACGCACCGTTGTACCCCGCTAGCACTGCACTTGTCAATTTTCCCTCTGCATAATTCAGAGCTTTGCTATTTTGGAAAAAAAAAAAAGTGTTGCTAATACTTGCACATATTTTACACCAGATGCCATTTAAACAGAGTCCGCGTGCCTGAAACACTCCAGGCAGTGAGACCAGGGCTATCCTTTGGTGGTGCTTGGCAACCCTCAGAGTGGCATATGAGACCTCCACCCACCTCTACAGCCGAAAGAGTGCAGGCGCCTTGGCTTGCATTTGCCAAGGCAAAGCTGTCAGAGCGTCTGTGGCTCCCTTAGCTAAAGGGATACAAGATGCCATGACAGAGTCATGCGCTCACATGTCTAGAACCGTATCTTAAAAAGGTCCAAAAACTGGAGTTCTCCAGTTTAAAAAAAAAAAGAGAGAGATTGCTTTGTTGGGATTTTGCCAAAATCCCATGACAACAAAAAGATGTTTGCATCATCTACTTCTCACCTGTTGATCTGCCACATGTCAGCACAGGAGGTTGGTTTCCTGCACAACATTCAAGGGGGGCCTTAACAGGGCTTAGCCTTTCTGACAGCGTTAATTACCTGTGGATGGGGAACCTTTTTTTTTTTTTCTGCCAAGGGTAATTTGCATATCTCTAGCATCAATCACCGACCATAGGAAATTAGCAGCTTAGAAATTGGCCTGTGAGTCGCACTGGTGGTCACAGAAGGCAGAGCCAAATCCATTGATCCTGCAGGCCTTCGAGGGTGTGCTGGCCGGGCGTCCCCCACCCCCCCACAGACTTCACATTCCTGGGTGAAGGGCCACTGCTGACTCGTTTGCATTTTTTCCCCAGCAGCCCAAGTGATTCATGTGGTTGAAAAGTTCTCCGTGAAGAACACACAGAAGGTGAAGAAGAACTATTCCGCGGAGCCACAAGACACATTGCCAAAAGCTTGGTGCTGTGTGAAGAGCGATTGCAAGTGAAATCGACACAATGAAAAGTCCCCCTGCACTTGCGAAGGGAATGCGGAACGATACCGCAGGCCTGCGCGTTCCTCCGCGGCATGTTATCCGTTCATTTTATTTTTTGACGATTCCTGCCCCTGCATCTCAGGCAGAACACGCTTCCTCCCAATTACGACCAATTAAAAGCTATTTAAGGAACACTCGGCAACAACAATGTTTAACAGAATTAACACCACGCGCTGCAGAAGCAAGGCGGCAGAAGTTGAGAAACTTATCGATGGCTTCGCTAATGCCAACTCGCATTGGAAGTTCGCTTCTAATTTTCAAATTTGTCTGTTGTTGCCCAAATAGCGCTTGGGGCTGGCACGTTTCCAAGGAGAAGTTTGGAGGTTTGTTTAAAGAGCTGGTTTTTGTGGAAGCAGGAAAGAACGGTATTTCGCTCTGAGTAGAGTTTCCTGTTTGGCTGTACACAAGGAGGGCATCACACTCAACATGGCACCGTCGGATGGCCTAGGGCACTGCATCCTGGAGACGTAACAGGGTCGTGTTCTGCAGTGCACAGCGATAGGTGGAGGTAAACATTACAGTTCTCCAGAAGGGCAAAGGGGTGTTGGCTGCGCCACCTTTTGCTACTCGCTGTTCCATGCATTCCCCCCCACCCACCCCCCACCCCCCGCTGTTTCCCTCTTGCCAACGACTCTGGAAGGAAAGGAGGTGTACCGTTCCCTCTGTACAGGTGAGCGGACTCAGACGCACGGCGGCTGGGTAACTCGTTCAGGGCCAAGTCGCGTGGCAAGATTTCCACGGGAATCTGACTCTAACCCCTCCTAAGAACAAGAAAGCTCATCCCATGAACCCAGGACCGTGAGGCGCTTTGTGCCTGCCTTGGTCTCTGGTCTCTGTCTGCGAGGGTGGAGCTGGGGTCTGACCTGGTCGGAGGGCACATCTGGCATGAGGCAGTGCCTTGGTGCAGCTCCATTGAGTTGAAGGTGTTGGCAACAGTGGCTCTGTGACCCGAACAGAGCGTGGTCTAGGCAGTAGAACCCACTGCACCTGCAAAACACATTCAGAAAAAAAAAGAAAAAGAGTGGCTGCTGGGAGAGAGGTGATAAGCCCTCTGACATCAAAAGGCTGTCTGGAGGGATAAATTAAATGACCTGTGTGTGGGAGGGGCAATTTGCATTTTTCTTTCCTTGGAAAGAAGCAAATCCACATACCTGTCTGTAGGCTACCGAGTCTGCAGGGTCGGGCGCTGACTCAGGTTCAAGTGCTGCTGCAGGTGCAGGACCAGCAGCATCTGGAGCTGGCTGGGAAGTCACGCTACCCCGGAATCTACCTGTGGCGAGCTTCAGGTGTGCACATCCAAGCCTGAGGAGCACTGCTGTAGGGCCCCTGGTGTGGCTGTGCAGGTTTCACCCTCAGTGTGTGTAGCTCAGAGGGGGGTTGGCTCCACTCATTCTCCTTACAAGAATAGAACTGAAAGGGCCATGAAAAAAAGTCATGCCCTTGGCACAGGTGCAGCTGTCTCATTCCAGAGGCCAAGGCAGTCAGGCCCAATCCACCAGGGAATTCTCCTTCAGCGAGTTCCAGCGCAGTCTCACCGCACGTCCTCACCACACATCCGGGAAGCCCCGCGTCCTTTCTGGGTTTGTGTGGGTGTGGGACCTACTTGCCATCCCCACCAACATCCATGTGCTATAACCCCGTCTTCATTCACGGGTTGTCCTTATCTCCAGTTTATGCTGTTTCCCCAACAACCCATCCAACTGACCATTCGTCCCCTGCAAAGTATAAAATATATATACAAAAGTGTAAAATACATGGCTGCTCTGATCCGACAGAAGCCAAGTGTCTCAGAGGTTAAGTGACTTCCCCAGGGATGGAGAGTCCTATTCCTCTGACTCAGCACTTTGTGGCAAGGTCCCTCTGTGTCTCACCATCCACATCAATATTTAGGCTAAGGGAGAGAAGACTCGAAACCTCACCAAAAAAAAGGGGGGGAGGTTAAGTTGCCGCGTGCACCCTCATCCCATGTCAGAGTGCCTGGTTTGAGTGTCAGCTCCTCTGCCAGCAATCCGGCTTCCTGCTAATGCGCACCCTCAGGGGCAGCACAGGATGGCTCCAGTGCTTGGATCCCCGCCACCCATACAGGAGACCGGGACTGAGTTCTGGGCTCCTGGTTTCAGCCTGGCCCAGCCCTGGTCATTGCAGGCATTTTAAAATAAAAATAACTTTTAAAAAGAAAGGTAGAAAGACACCAGGAGTCTTTTCTGGGAGATCTGCGACCTCGAGCTACACTGCGTGCTTCCTGGCGATCTCCCTGCCTCCGGTCTGCAGCTGGGGCCGGCATCTTCAGCACCGGAAACCGAGGCGTGTGCCACAGCCGCCTCCCTCGTGCGGCCCTCTCCCCACTTCCCAGCCACCCCACTCAAACGCTGCCCCTCCAAACAAGGAGGGATCTTCTGAACTTATTTTTTGTTCGCACGTACTAGGAAGCGGACGGCCTCCCTACGATGTTTTTGCTCATGAGCCTTGGAGGAAGCAGTCCCAGCTCTTAGAAGGCAAATCATTAAGAACTAAAATACACTGTGGGCATCCATCCTGGCTGGATCCAATTTCAAGTGAAAATGAATGGCAAATTCTTGTGACCACATGAAGGGCCACTGTCATTCATCTGAAATCAGTTAAACATGAGAACAATATGAAAACCATCTTGAGTTCGCGGAGTACAAATATTTGTATTTTTTTGCCAATGCCCCGGAGAGACCAGGAGATGTTGGCAGATCAGCGTTCTGTAAACATGCCCACAGAGCAGGGAACTAAGGAACCTAACTCTTGTTGGGTTAAACTATTTGTCAACTTTTCCATTTCCTCCGTCAGAAGATAATTAAACAGTAAGCAGATGTCAGAGTCTAATTGGTTCAAGGAAAGATTGCTCAATGACTTCTGGGGCTTGTGATTTTTTATGTAGCATCTGCAAACATCCCCTTGTTGCTAATGGAAGCAGAAAGTCACCCAGTTAGTTTCGCTCCCCTTGGGGGGCAGAGGCTGCCACAACAAAGATTGGGGGGCTGGTATGAAAAGTTCATGGAAATTTAAATCAAAGGATGTTTATTTTGGGGTGAACTTTTTCAGGCATCCATGAGTGGATTTTTTTTCATAAGATGCATTTTTCTGACCTTTCTGAAGTCCTCTCGTATACCTATGGATAGGCAGTGTCGGTCTAGAGACGCAAGTATCAGAGCCCCTGGGACATGGCTGTAGCACAGAAGCAGAGAAAAGCCTAGCTTCTCCCAAGGGGGGCGGGGGAGGAGAGGGGGAGGAGGAGAGAGGAGGGGATGTGAAGGAGGAGAGAGGAGGAGATGAGGGAAAAGGAGGGGAGGGAGAACAGGAAGACAGGCATAGGAAGCCAGTGTTTCGTAGGAGAGACCCAAGGCCACGGCCAAGCCCGCTGTGCAGCTGCCTCGGGCACCCGGGCCTGTAGATTTGACCTGCTGGGTTTACCCCTCCGCTGACCATCAGATCTAGGAGTCCCTGTCCCGGCTCTGTGCAGGCCCACCGTGAGACAGGAAGGGTCATGCACACGGAAGTCGGCAAACTAAAACTCGAACAAGCGCTTTCCTTCCCCATCTCAGCCCAGAGGGACGCCGCACCCAGGAGTTAGCACAGGACAAGGACTGCTCCACTACAGGGGTCCCACAGCGCTGTTGCTTGGGGTCCAGCGTGTTTCAGAGGCAGGTGAAACACCCGGCAGACCCCACTGTAGACCTCCACTTCTCAAAATCTAACACACACACACACACACACACTGAAAGCCCTCCATGGGATTCCAGTAAGTGTCCAGTGGGGCAGGTGAGGCTCAGACTTGACAAACACCTGTTGGACACAGTGGTTAAAACCCCAGTGGGGGGGGGGATGCGGGGTGTCGGGGAGCTGGAAGGAAAGCAGAAAGTGAGCGTGTCAGAGGCAGGAGGAGGAAGTGATCAGATGCATCATCTGCTCCTGGTGGGCGCCCATCATGACGACAGTCACGGAGGTCACCGATGCCCTTGACAGTAGCAGAGGAAGCGGAAGCCTGGGTTCAGCACCTCTGCTACCCACTGTGGTAGATGTGTAGCCCCGTTTCCTAGATAAGGGAGTTGACGGACAGGCTACCGGGTAAGCAGGGAGGCGGGGCTCCACTCTGTCACCTCCTGCCCGTGATGGCGGGACCCTGTGTGGCGAGGTTGGTGCTGGGGACAGCGGAGGTGGTGGAGATGCTGATGTTGGCGATGATGACGTGGGGAGTTGTGCGCGTGCTCTGAAGAAAGCCAGAGCAAGCATCATCCACCGTAAGGAAGCCCTTTCAGCTGCAAAACCACCATCAAGTCCAGGCCCAGGGGGCAGGAAGCGGGTCCACTCCGTGTTTGCTCGAGGGGTCCACCTACTGGGAAAACACAGGCCAGCCAAGCAAGCCTCTTTGTTCTCCCAGGGCAGCAAACAGCGCTGGGCGAATCCTCCTCCAGGCCCTCCCGCTGGACCCGCAAGGCGCAGCGCTGGCGGAGTAATGGCAGGGCAAATATTTTCCTGGAGAAAACGATCAAACTTGAAGCAAGCAAAGCAAACAGGGCCCTTCCAAAGGGCAGCTGGTGTGGAGCTGGCCAGGAACAGTTAGGGGAAGATTCCAGAACAGGGGAAGCCTATGGCCTGGGGGCTTTGCTCAGAGGGAGGGGTGTTGTTCACCCTCCCACCCCCACCTTGAGTTCTATGGTGATGGTTAAGGAGGGAAGAGAATCCAGGCCACACGGTGCAGAAGGGGACAGCGCCTGCGCTGAAAGGCAGGTACATGGGGGCTTGCGTCGTAGTATTCATTCATCTAGCCTCTCTCACGTGTGTCGAGCACTGGCCATCCCAGGCCCCAGCCGTGTCTACACAGTCCTGACCCAGCCTTTCATCCCCTGTGAGGTTCAGTGAGTGCATCTGAGAAATGGGGCTGCGCCAGGGTGGCTGGCAAGATGGGTGGTCATGGAAAAGTCACTTGGCACAGTGTCTGGCTCACGACTGGCTCCAGGCTACAGTCACTATGGGGAACCCCCCCTCCCCCACACCACCAGCCGGCCTCTCTCTTCCTCCCAGGGGGCAGGTGTTCCCCTTGCCCTAACTGCGCATGCCCCATGCACACCTTTCTCTTGACCTTAGCCAGGCTGTTCCTCGCCCACCATGGAGTTTCCACTCAGTACTCCCCCAGGTGCCCCAAATCAAACAGGCCCCTGAGCAGCCTCTTCACCAGGCCATCGTCCCCCCAAGCCTAGGCTGCTGGGCGTTTCCACGAGGGCCCCGCCCCCGCCCCTGTGCCCTGGAGCTGCTCCTTCCCCTCCCCCAGCCTTGCCTGGCCTGGAGGCCTAAGCACTTTCTCCTTCTGTGTCCGGCTTTCTACTGTGACTGCAAAACTCCGTTTCAGGGGCGGGTACTGTGGCAGAACGGTGAGGCCATCCATCCTGTGGAATGGCTGCCTCCCGTCGTAGAGCGCCGGGGTTTTAAGTCCTGCCTCTGCTTCGGATCCAGCTTCCTATTGAGGGGTACCCTGGGAGGCAGCAGGGGGTGGCGCAGGGGGTTGGGTCCCTGCCACCCAAGTGGGAGAACTCTGAAGTCCTGGCTTCAGCCTGATCCAGCCCTGGCTGTTGGAGGCGTTTTGGAAATTCTCTCTCCCTCTCTTTCTCCCCCCCCCCCATTTCCCTTTCAAATCAATGAAAAATAGGACAACTCCATGTCAGTGTACCTTCCTCCAGGAAGTCCTCCAGGACCCAGACTGGGTTACCACTCTTCCCTGCTCTTTCCCAGAGCACCTGGTCTTCCCATCACCCCATGGTGCCCTGGATCAGCTCTGTGTGTCCTTGGAGTCCAGCCAAGCCTGGGAAGACTTGTGAAAGATCTGTGGTGCTAGACTCAGGGCTGGGCCCCGAGGGTGAGACAAGAGGCGGGGGCTCTGACGACATGGACGTGGAGGCTCAGGCCGTCGACTGCGGAGAGGCGGAGGAAACACGGTGACCCAGGATAGCTGTTCCGAACACACA